ATTCACCGTTACATTCACCGTGTGTGATTTTAGATATTTGTTAGTTTCCTTGCTGAACTTGTATATTGTATATATGTACTTACTAATTTATTGTATATATTTATATTTACTAAAATATAGAGTTCAAAGTCTTTATTCATAATTTAAATTGCACTATTTAATTTGTACTAAATATTGATTTGTCAATGATTTTTCTTCACAATTTTTACGATAAAAAAATTAGAAATTATTTTAACAGCTTTGAAGAAATATATTACAAATGAGGAATAAATTATAGATGTATTTTTAATGTATTTTTAAAGAAATTATTCACAACAGTTTATATTCTACAGGGACATCGATATGAAAGAAAACAAAAATCCTTAGCACTAATATTATACAAAACAATGGAGAAGCGTGCGTATACTTGCTTGCGAGATATTTTTGAACATATACCGTCGATACAAACATTACAGTTAGCGTTCCAAAAAATACCCATATGTCCTGGATTGAATCCTTTAATCCTGAAACATCTAGAGAATATTGCTCCAAGAATGTCGAGGAAGAATAAAGTATGTATTCTCATGTGGGACGAGGTATCCATACAACCCAAAGTCACCTATGATATCCACAAAGATATTATATGTGGACTTGAGGATTGGGACAATAACCGTATGCAAAAAATAGCTGATCATGCTTTAGTGTTCATGTTATGCGGTTTAAAATCAGGCTGCAAAATGCCTATTTCTTATAACTTTTGTAGTAAACAAACGAAAACCGCACAATTAATTCGTTGCATAAAAGAACACATAAAAAAGATTAACAATGCAGGCTTCCATATTGTTGCTACCGTTTGTAACCAAAGTTTATCAAATAAAGCACCAATAAAGAAATTATTATTACGCACTGACATGAAGAGAAATTTTGAGAACAGAACACAAAGTAAATAATAATACTTAGGGTAAACCCGGTATATACGCCGTACCTATTAAAAACTTAATTTATCAGATATTATCTGTTAAGTTTAAGTTAAATGAACTATGCCAGTAAAAACTTTATACTATTTACTATTATAAAAAAATATTAGGAATTCAAATTATTTATTTTTTTATATTAAAAAAGAAATTTCTTTAAACGTTTGCATTTTTGCCGTATAAAAATAGGGACGAGTTATATGGCTACTCATGAGTGGGATAAATGACTCGAAAAATATACAAATAATCTAAATAATAATAGTGAATAATACGTGAATTGATAACGTAATTTGCATTTACTTACTAATAAATAAATAAAGAACGTATTGTCGCGTCCGACGCATATGTATACGCTCAAATTTTATTTTTTCTTTCCTTTTTTTTCTCTCGTTCGTTTCCTCAATACGTTTCCGTTTCTCTTTCTTTTCCTTTCTCTTTTTCTTTTTCTTTTATTTTACATTAAGGCTAAACACAGATGCACATGTATTGTAATAATAGTTTAATATTCTATTATGTATTCGATTAATAGTTTAATATTAATAATGTATAGTTTAATAATATATTAATATTATATAATCATCATTTAAACTCCGTGGTAGATAATTGCGAAAGGCAAGACAGTCAAGTGTGATTCACGTGCTCCGCGCGCGCTCACGTTCGGAGCGCGTGAACGAACAATGGAAGTTCTCGGAAAGACGCGGGTAAGGACATCAATTCGGGAATCGAACTACTAATCAAGGGACAATCTGCACTTTCCAATTTTCCGAGAACTTCTATTTCCCCTCACCCCTTTGCCACCAACCGATTGTTATATAAGAGGTTGGTATATAAGAGCGCCGATTTCGACGATATTTTGCTCATTTCGTATCGCGCTGCCCTCGGCGACAATACACTGGCATAAGAGCATCGCTGTAAGCGCACCTCTTCATTAAAGGTTCATATATATATAGATCTCTTTCTCTTTTAAAACGCCTTGCCATAGCAGTATCATCCCATCTTCCATCTTTCCTAAATCGCGCTTGGCAAAGGCGTATGCCCTCTCTTTTCACTGTAACCGTTGTTCGGTCAGACGTATTCCCACCTTCCATCTTTTCTAAATCGCGCTTGCTAAAAGCGTATGTCCTCTCCTTGCTGTAACTATTGTTTCAGATGTATTCCCACCTTCCATCTTTCCTAAATCGCGCTTGCTAAAGGCGTATGTCCTCCGTGCCTCCCTTTCTCACAAACTAAATCTACGCATCAGGAACATCTAACTCTACCAATATATATACATATATATTTTATATTTTTCTTTCTCTCTTACTATTCACATATGATAATAACATTCGTCTTCCGGCATAATAATTAGTCGAAAAAAAGGCATCAGACCATCTAATCATTCTCGCACGCGCGTGTATTCTCCTCGCGATGGAACAACCCAAGCGCAGGTAAAAATTTAAACCCTCGCGTATGAAAACACATATATATATGTGACATTATACCTCATCCCAGTAAAAACTTAACTATTGAAGGGCACGACGATCTAGGGCTGGGGGCCGGAAACGAGCTTTGAGGCGGCTGCGGAAGGAATTGCTCCAGCCAGGGGAGTTTGATCTTTCGTACCTCGACAGCAACCCGGGGTATTTTACCTACTCCCCCGACAACCCTCCTTCTCCAGGACCCTTCGCGCCCTCCGAAAAAACACACAAGGCCCCTCTTCCACGGGTTCCGTCGCCCCCTCGCAAGGCTCCTTCCCCTCTCAGAGCCGATACTTACGTCCCCACTCGTATACCGACACGCCCGACAAGGGTGGATCGTCAGGCCACTCCGCGTGCAACCAAATCAGTTTCAAGATCCAAGCCGCGTATAATAGACTCGCAAGTTGTTCACCTCACAATAAAGAAAATTAATTAAATTTCTCGTTTATCTCTCTCTTTTCCTTCCATTTGCCCTTCCTAAGGACACAAAATGATGAACTTCACGGCTAGTCATAAGGGTTCCGCTTGGCCCACTCGAAAGACTAGCTATTTTACTGATTGTGTCTCTTCTTTCGTTATTTAAATATATATATTAACGCTCCATCCTTAATCCCAAAAATAAACCCTACCCCCGCATCCTTTTTCTCAAACCCAGGACGCGACAGTATTATTACAGATTATGAATAAGTACATACATAAGTATATACATACATGAATGTTATGATTAATGTATTGTAAAGGGCGTATTATTACGTATTATTATTTATTTTTATATTTATAAATAAATAATAGAGCGTCTATGCTACGGCATAAATCCCACGCGCTAAAAATGCCATGTATCCCAAACAGATGGGATATACGAGACAATAATCTAAACAAAGAATACAAGAGTGAAGCACTTGTATTTTGCTATACTCTATCCTTTACTAATCCTCTACACTTATATACCATAAAATAACCACGAAATCTTTTACATTTCCTACAATAATCATTTTATATAGATTATAACTTATGATTGCGCTACTTATTACAGTGATAAATCGATTTAACTTACAATAATTTTAACAGTAAATATAAATATTAACAATGTACAATAAATATTAACAGTAAAAAACTGAATTCACAACACAATATAACATAAAGGCATGTAACAGAGTAGTTACAAGAAAATTAGTTTCACTTCTTCTTTTTTCTGACTTCTGCGGCGTAAATCCTCGCGCGGCGTATATACCGGGTTTACCCTACTCACATACAATAATTTACTATTGAAAATAATATACAATATTACTTAAATCAAATTATGCACTATTAACAAGTCAAACTTTTGAAGTTGATTCTGCGGAAGTTGTTCCATTGTACGATCTTCCACATCTCCTTAAAGGTATAAGAAACAACTTATTAACGAAAGATCTTGCATTCAACTGTAAGGACAATAAAGCAACAAAAATAGCATCGTGGGAAGTTCTTAAGACTGCATGGTTAATGGATAAAAATATGAATATTCTATTCGGCCACAATTAAAAAAATTAACGAAAGAACATGTAGTTAAAAATAAAATAAACAAGATGCGTGTAAAACATGCAGTTCAAGTGTTCAGTGGAACAGTGGCTAGTTTAATTGAAACATTAACAAAAGCAAAATGTAAATATAATGTTGTTAATTAAAAGATGTAATTAGAAAAAACCAATAAATAAATGAATCATTTTTTAACAAATTATAAAATTTTTTTTGTTAATGTAATAAATATTGTAAAAATAGTACTACAACGAATTAAGTTGCAAATGTGTCAAAATGAAATTGTTATATGAAATAATATGAATTTTATGTAAATTTATTTATGTTTATTACAGGCATTGTATCTATCGAGGGCAATGACATGAAGATAAATACCGAAGAAGATTGCAATAACCAAAGTATTCAACTTCTTTAATGACTTATTCGAATCAGTTAATTGAAACGAAAAGACGATTGACGATCACAATAAACGGCGTCCAGTGTTAATAGACAATGTACATCATGTATTTTGGGTGAGTGCAAAGAATGTACTGCGAGATATGCATTATATAGAAAAACTATCATGTAAAGTTGTTAAATTGCTTCCAACTTTGTCCAATTGGCTACATACTAATACATTACAAACGCGTTTTTGTAATCA